CAGAGCAGGCCTGCACAACTTGTGATCTGTTGAGCCAAACTCAGTTCACCAGCCAATGTGATACCCTTCCTAACCCTGTTTTTGCAGTCCCAGGTAGATAGCAGAAACAGGTTACGGGTAGCTGGTACACTAAGCTTGATTCCATGGGTCACATGTTGTGCGAGGCTACTGTGGGAAAAGGGAGTTTCTAGCCACACAAAAATAAGTGTCCTATCTCGTTGAACTTTACGAACAGAGATATGGTAAGGGAAAAAAGGTTGTATTTTGAAACCAGTCTTTAACTATCAACATTTCGGAGATAATTCCTGTGATTTTCAATTAAAGAACGAAAGCTCTTGCATTCTGCCATTATTTGCAGCAAAGGGCACAGACGGTCATTAACCTGCTGTTTTTTCTTCTTCTGCCTCGCAGTTCAATTTCGCCGTTTAGTATTGAGAGCACAAGGCGCCAGAGAAGGTCCGAATCGCCTGACTCTAGAAAGCGCCGCATCCACAGATGTGATTTTGAAGGGTGCAACAAGGTGTACACGAAAAGCTCCCACCTGAAGGCTCACCGAAGGACGCACACAGGTAAGGGTTTTGCCAAAGGTTTTCGCTGTATGGACAGTGTTAGCAGCAGTGTCTCTCAGCGGGCACGTTCTATTTTTGACATGATGAAAGTGCACAGTAAACATGAATGAGCTTTCACCACTGTGTAATAAAGAGTAATTATTTTCAACATATAGCCTTGGGGGTTATTAAGCTTCCCAGCATCATGTGATTTTAGAATCAGAGGTTTTCTTTCCATGTGGGCACACCTCTGTTGTTCCTGTTCTTTCTCAGTTAAGGTCAAACTCTGAAAAATCAGAAGTATTATTTTTGCCCTAGGCCCTCCAGATGTTTTGAGACTACAATTCCCATCATCCCTGACGACTGGTTCTGCTAGCTAGGGATCATGGGAGTTGTAGGCCAAAAACATCTGGAGGGCCGAGGCTGAGGAAGCCTGCTTTAGATCATTAGGGGAAGAGAAGGTAGGGTGTAACTGTGAATGGGGGAGGAATTAATTCAGTTTTCATTTTAATGTGAACCTCCCTGATTCACATTTCCTAAACCAGTATGTGATCTGAAATGAGGCCATCTTTCAAAATTTGTAGTTCTCAAAGTTTTGCAATGTAGTTCTCCAACCACAATGAAAAACATACAAAATAAAAGGCTTATATTAGGGCAAAATGCACACAAATATGCTTGTATTGGTGAAAATAAGCAGCTATCTTATTTTTAAAAGACATCTGAAGGCAGCCCTGTTTAGGGAAGTTTTTAATATTTAATGCTGTATTGTTTTTAACACTCGATTGGGAGTCGCCCAGAGTGGCTGGGGAAACTCAGCCAGATGGGCGGGGTATAAATAATAAATTATTATTATTATAGAAATAATGTACAAAAATGCATTATGTTAAGGAAAATGTGTACAACTTTTCCTTTCTTTAAAAATTGAAAACTGATGTGGAAATAGGGAGAACTGGAAAAAGAACCAACGGGAACTGTCAAATTAATCCATCTCTACCTATAACGATAGAACTGCCAACCTAGAACTGCCAACCTAGCAGTTCGAAAGCATGTCAAAGTGCAAGTAGATAAATAGGTACCGCTCCGGCGGGAAGGTAAACGGCGTTTCCGTGCGCTGCTCTGGTTCTCCAGAAGCGGCTTAGTCATGCTGGCCACATGACCCGGAAGCTGTACACCGGCTCCCTCAGCCAATAAAGCCAGATGAGCGCCACAACCCCAGAGTTGGCCATGACTGGACCTAATGGTCAGGGGTCTCTTTACCTTACCTATAATGAAGCAAATGTTTTGTCTCGCCATCTTCAGAGGACCTGGATAAAAGTCCTGAACTTCCATCTGAGCAAAACAAGAGGAGAATATGTATGGAGCTGGGTAGGGGAAAGGGGGGAAAAAGTATCAGGATTCCAACTGATTAAAGTTACTGTCGGAATAGAAGCCCCTTATGCAAAGGGAGTCTGATCAATGAAAGAGAAGCAGGGGCTGCTTGGCCTGACCTTGACACCAATGCTCAACACATGAATGTTGGAGGCAGGGATGCTTCCATTTGAACCCATAGCCCCCTTCACTTAAGTACCATCTGAAGGGAGCTGGTGTGTGCAAGCCAAACTTCAGCAAGCAAACGCTCATAAACGTGCCTCTTCCGGACGCTTGTGTCCTTTGTTCTGAATGCCTCTTTAACCAACACATCGCCTTTCCCATTTTTGGCCTCAGGCATCCCAAAAGCGTTCTCTTGCCTGCTGAGAAGGAGCCGCCGTTCCTCTGCCACAGACCCCTGCCCAGTGTGTTGCAGAGGTTCCTGTGGAGCATTCTAGGCCACCCTCTTCGTTCAGGCAGGTCACAGCCTCTTGGGCTTCAGGGTAGCCGCGCCTGAACTGAGAGTGAACCTTCAGACCACACCCGGCATTGCCCTATGGCTGCACACTCGGGGTGGGGGGTTGGTAAGTGGTGGGTAAGCTGCCTTTCAGCGAAGGTTGCCCCTGATCACCCACGACAAGGCTTCCCAGGAAGCCCAAGGCCACTTGGAACAGACCTTGGAAACCGAGGGTAGAAGGCACGGGGCCAAGGGGTGCATGCTGTCAGCATCTCTCCGTGGTGGTTTGCCACACCCGACTTGCAAAACCAGAGAGAGGTTATGAACTCCCGGTGGCCACACCGGGGGGGGGGGGGACATGAAGTAACTGGTGGTTAGCCCTGTAGCTTCTAACGGTTGCACATCAGAGCGCACGAACCAAACCCTTTTCATAACTTCTATTCTCCTTTGGAGCCAGATGCTGACTGATGTTAAGTACTGCAATCCAGACTGCCTTTGGAGGAGTGTAATTTTGTGTGGGGTTTAATATATGCATTTGCCATGGGCTTTTGCGTTTAGCGGTTGGAACACACTGCAGCGTTCGCAGCACAACTTTGCCTTAATTAAACCCATCGTACGGAAGAGCTTGCTGGAAAGCCCCTCCTGGGGGGGGGGGGGAAATCACAGGGTGTCTCTGATTGTTTTAATCACCTGAGCTTGTAAATTTTACTCGCAGGCGGCAATCCTAAACCCAATTAACTGGAAAATAAGCTGTTCTGTTAAAATCAGTGGGAATTAGTTCCAAGGAAATGTGCTTGGATGTCAGGCTGCTCATACCTAAACAGATGTTTTGCAACACTTGGGTTAGATGTGTTTTCGGTACAAAATGTCTTTTGACTTCACCCTCATTAAGGCACCAGTAAGTGGGGAGCACAATAATGATTCTATATTGCTTTTGTTTGGGTTTTTTATCATAATATGCACACGGGTGGCGCTGTGGTCTAAACCACAGAGCCTAGGGCTTGACAATCAGAAGGTCGGCAGTTTGAATCTCCACGACGGGGTGAGCTCCCGTTGCTCGGTCCCTGCTCCTGCCAATCTAGCAGTTCGAAAGCACGTCAAACTGCAAGTAGATAAATAGGTACCGCTCCGGCGGGAAGGTAAACAGTGTTTCCATGTGCTGCTCTGGTTTCACCAGAAGCGGCTTAGTCATGCTGGTCGCATGACCCGGAAGCTGTACGTCGGCTCCCTTGGCCAGTAAAGTGAGATGAATGCCGCAACCCCAGAGTTGTTCACGACTGGACTTAACTGTCAGCGGTCCTTTACCTTTACCTTTATGTAGTAATATAATAGGTGAAAGACTGAGCTGAGTAAATGACCGCTTAAGGCAAGTCTACAGAACTGGTGAGGTACAAAACCAAAAGCAGCCCATCATCCCTGTGTAGTGCAAAAGTCTAAAATGTAGTGCTGGAGTGCATTGGTTTGCATGCAGAAAGTCCCAGGCTTCATCCTCAGCATCTCCTTGTATGCCTTGGGAAGATTCCTGTCTGAAAACCCTAGACAGCTACTGACCCAAATGCACCAGTGGTTTGATTTTGTATCAGGCAGCTTCCTATGTTCCTATTGTGGCTTTCCGAGTGTCTGATGTTGTTGTTGTTTAGTCATTTAGTTGTGTCTGACTCTTTGTGACCCCATGGACCAGAGCACGCCAGGCACTCCTGTCTTCCACTGCCTCCCGCAGTTTGGTCAAACTCATGCTGGTAGCTTCGAGAACACTGTCCAACCATCTCGTCCTCTGTCGTCCCCTTCTCCTTGTGCCCTCCATCTTTCCCAACATCAGGGTCTTTTCCAGGGAGTCTTCTCTTCTCACGAGGTGGCCAAAGTATTGGAGCCTCAGCTTCACGATCTGTCCTTCCAGTGAGCCCTCAGGGCTGATTTCCTTCAGAACGGAGAGGTACACACTGCTTTTGCAATCCAAGAAGTTTACTATGGGCCTCCATGGATGACCATAGTTGGCAGAATTGATGGATCAAAGACCGAGTTGTGTGAGTCTTACACAATCTATTAATCCCATAGTTTAAACCACAAAAAACAACAACCACAAAACGTAATTACATTGCTTTCGTGAACCTTTTGGGATGTTTGCACAGTCTCATGCGGTGTTGAATGTGAACATACTTTACAAGCTAATCTCATCTTGCATTTATATCTGAGCCTTTGCTTTTTTGCCCAGAGCAAAGTGAGTCAACTATTTATGTATGGCCCTGGGGTAATTAGTGTATGATATTGGCTAGGTATAAATGAATTATGACAGCCCTGCACGCAAGGATAAGCAGGCTTCAATAGGAAAAAAACCAGATCACAGAAACTTGTTGTTGCATAATTTTACCTTTTCATGCAGTGCAAATGCACCATTAGGCATGCTTGCAAAATACTTAAGTAAGCAGAATTGCATAGAAATTGCTAAATGGTTTCATATGCCTGGAACTCATAATTTTCCTGAGAAGCTGACCATATCTGAGGGATCAGGATTTAGAAATCCTGGTTCAAGTTGCTATACACATACAGAAAAGGGTTGGGTAGCAGGTGATAGGAAAGAACTTTGCCTGAGACCCCAGAGAGCCAGTGTCAGTCATGGCAGATAGTATTTGGTTGAGATGGACTGTGCTGCCATAGCTCAGTCGACAGAGCACAAAACTATTAATTTCAGGGCTGTGGGTTCAAGCCCCACGTTGGACGAAAGATTCTTCCATCATAGAGGGTTTCACTAAATGACCCTCATGGTCCCTTTCAACTCTTCAGTTCTATGATTCGATGAAAGCAGTTTCCTGTGCTCTTAAATCCAAAACATTCATTGACCGTAGAAAAGTAGGTATCAAGCAGGAAGGATGTAGCTTGGATGCCTAGAATCCTGTGGGTCAGACGCTACAGGAGATCTGTGCTTGTAGCTTTCACTCCATCCAGTCCATTCCGATAGCATTTGAAGCCAAGAAATAGCATGGGTGAGACTGACATGGTATGTAAAGGTAAAGGGACTGCTGACCATTAAGTCCAGTCGTGGCCGACTCTGGGGTTGTGGCGCTCATCTGGCTTTATTGGCCGAGGGAGCCGGCGTACAGCTTCCAGGTCATGTGGCAAGCATGACTAAGCCGCTTCTGGTGAACCAGAGCAGCACACAGAAATGCCGTTTACCTTCCTGCCAGAGTGGTACCTATTTATCTACTTGCACTTTGACGTGCTTTCAAACTGCTAGGTTGGCAGGAGCAGGGACTGAACAATGGGAGCTCACCCCATCGCGGGGATTTGAACCGCCGACCTTCTGATCGACAAGTCCTAGGCTCTGTGGTTTAACCCACAGTGCCACCTCCTAAAACCTTTTCCGCGAAGTATCTGTGTGATCTCCAGGGTTAAAACATAGCCTCAATATCATGGGAAGCAGCACTGCTGTATCAGCAAAGGAAAGGTGAACCACTTCATTGAGCTGGTGCAACTTTTTCTGCTGGTGATTCAGACGTGTTTGGGGAGAGTTGGAAGCATCTACAACAGTGCAGATGCTTTGCTGCGATCAGTGCCTTCCACTGGCATTTCAGCTTGGGTTACGGTCAAAAATCTTTGTATGAGCATCAAATCCGCTAGAGGGCAAACTCTAATAATAAACTGCTCCTTGGAAACCCAAGCATGGCCGTACCAGAAGCTAGGAATTCTGAGTCACACATGCAAGGTATTAAATTCTGATTCCCTGCCTCCCACCCATAACCGTCTAAAGTAGCCGAGAAATATCATGTGTAATGTAAATTATTACAGGGTTATGAATAAATTTGTGTGGTCTTATTTCAAGGGAGTAACTATCACAGGTCATGTCACCTGTGATTTGTCAGCATAGATTCTACTAATTGCTAACAGTGACTCTCCTAATGAGTAATCTGTGAAAATCAGATGGCAGGTTTTTATTTAAAAACCCTGGATACTCATACACAAAATATGTATCCGTTGTTCAAGTCTGTCTCTCCACATGTATAGTTCAAAAAACCATAGTGCCTGCTATGTGGCAGTTTCATACAAAACAACTTCTTCGTGCTAATTATGGCCTCTGTGTTACTAGACCATTTTTCCACAGGCAAAAGCAACTGGTTGCCATACAAGAAACAAATATACATTGTTTTCCAAAAAGTTGTCCAAACCTGCTAGCCCACAAGCCTTTTTCTAGCCCACCTATCAATACCTATGTGTGTTAGTCATTTGTGGTATATAAACAGATTAAAAATGAATAAAAGATCCCAGTCTTCTGACTTGAACTTTCTTGTCCAGTCACCTGGAGAGGATTCTTATTTACCACAGCAGGCAAGTAGCTATTTACAAGCCTGCCCTTGAATTCTTTACATCCTTGACCGAGGAGAAGGGGCTTATGACTAAGAGTTGTAGCAAAGTAATTTTTACTCGGAATAGACCCACTGAAATTAAAGGCTCTAAATTTGTCATAGTTATTCATTTCAATGGGTTTAGTCAATAGTATCTTCCACAACTTAAATCATGACACATTTGTGTTCCTACCAGTTTGAAATACAGCGTGGGAAGGATGACTATGCATGACTCTACGCTTACACCAGTGTTTGAAACTTCTAGGCGCATTTTGCGACAGGGAATTTCATTAGCGCAAGCAGTTTCTGAGCTCTGGGCACAATACTGCGCCTAAAATTTCAGATTAAAACTGCAGAGTGGAAGGAAAGGAGGACCTTTTTCTGCCTCCCCACTTTCAGCTACTCTCTGAAGACTGGAGAAAAACCCCTCTTAAGAATATCAGGGGGGTGGACAGGGAGAGGACTAGACCATGTGAAAAATGAACTGCTGCAGTTCATTCCTTTTCAGCTTTGTATTCTTGTTATAAAAAAGACGCCTAGACATTCCATTGTTGTGCCTAGGTTTAAGGTGCCATTTAGCTCAGTGCTTTCATTTCTCTGTTTCTAACACTGGCTTACACTAACACGTGGCTTACACTAACACGTTCTTTAATGGTAGCTTTCTTTTTACTTAGTGTCCCATCACATTGCAGTGTAAAAGGTAAAGGGACCCCTGACCATTAGGTCCAGCCGTGGCCGACTCTGGGGTTGCGGCGCTCATCTCGCTTTATTGGCCAAGGGAGCCGGCGTACAGCTTCCGGGTCATGTGGCCAGCATGACTAAGCCGCTTCTGGCGAACAGAAACGCCGTTTACCTTCCTGCCAGAGCGGTACCTATTTATCTACTTGCACTTTGAGGTGCTTTCGAACTGCTAGGTTGACAGGAGCTGGGACTGAGCAACGGGAGCTCACCCCGTCGCAGGGATTTGAACTGCCAACCTTCTGATCGGCAAGCCCTAGGCTCTGTGGTTTAACCCACAGCGCCACCCGTGTCCCGTTACATTGTAGTGTAATAGTGACAAAATATGATTCTATGCCCCAGGGAACTTGCAGTCTCAGTAGCCTTGCAACAGAAGGCATGGAGCTGGATCTAAGGTCATGTGTGTCCACACGATCTCCACTGGAAGATTCAGGGTTGGAGTTGAAGGGTTCATAATGTTATAATTCGGAGTACTTGGCCTGTGATTAAAAGAAAGTGCTTTGAGCCTGCTTAAATATAACGAAGGGGACCTATCAACAGTCCATCTCTTAGCAGCCATTAGCCCAGTTCGGATGTGATGGATAGCACACTTCAAATTTGCAGAGCACTTCAGGCACATTATTTAATTAATCCTGTTGACAATCCTGCAAAGGAGAGCTAGTGGTGTTGTCCCATTTCAGACCAAAGCGGGGGCAGAGAGCATAAGGCCAGCTTGTGAGTTTGTGGCTGATCAGCTTATAGCTCATGCTCTTGGTCACTTTGTGACACCAACTCCAGGAAAACTGAGGGTACAATACGCAGCCTCAATGGGCTTTAGTATTATTTCAGAGGATCACGATTGTGTCTGAAAGAAAATGCCTTGATTCTGAGCTATAGAGAAGCCTCTCTCACTAGACTTTGGGGCTCCTGATCTGCACATGGAGCCATTGCTAAATGCAGCCTTGCTAAATGCAGTCAGAAATGCAGCCTTGTTACAGGGCATCCTGTGGTCCAAGGTATTTTCCTTTTTAATAAATCTGAGACACCTGCAGAAGAGAGGGTGGCAGACAACTTTTGTGTTTTGTTTAGTCTGAGCCTGTTTAAACTCTGCATTCCTCAGGCTCCACCAGATATTTATTTGAATAAGAAATGGCACCTGTCATTAGTCTTTGTTCATATTTTCTCCCCTTTCAGTAGTTGGAAACACAGGTAAGACCCATGACTGGAGACATGAAAAATAAGTTCGACTTGTTCTGTGACCTTTAAGCACCATTCAGTACCTTTTGTTTGGTTAAGAATGGTTTAATACTATTTGTCTGCTCTACCTGAGAGAAATTTACTTGCCTAGAGTAATCCCTTCATTTGACAGAATGGAGACGAGTCATTCTCTCCTTCTAATCCTCTCGGGGTTGGTCTCCATTCTGTAGACTCTTTGGCTTTCTTTACGGCAAATTCTCCACGTTCATTTATGCCACAGGCGACAACAATTTGTCCCACAACAACCTTGCCAAACTGAAAGGTTACGTCATCAGCCCGAACTCCTTACTTCTTTAAGGTTGAAATACCAATACTAGAAATACTTCAAGTGTAGCTTTATCTTTCTGTGTGTATTTCCAATTTCACTACGGAAACCACTAGAAGCTACTGTGTTTGGGCTCTTCAGGCTATCTCTGTCGTAAGACCTAGCGAAGCAACTGCCTCAGAGAGCAAACTGATTTACCAGTAAAGAGTAGCAGTTTTGACATTTATTTCCTATTTTCTAAAACTAAAACCACTTAGATTTTCTGCTTCCAGAAGCAAATAACCTCGGCCAGTTCTGCCTGCAGTATTGATAAATGAATCGTTTTCTTCAGCTTTCATTTTTGTTACCTGTTTTTGCAGTCAGCAAATGGATTGCTGCGATGTTAAAGGATTTTTGTATATTTGTTAATTTTTAAAAAAAAACATTATTTTTTTAAAATATATTTTTATTATTTTCTTCCATAAACAATATTGTTGACAATACAATAACAAACACAAATACTTTTTGTTCTGCCAAGCATATGACTTCCCTCCTTCCCTTCAGCAGGTTTTCCGCTTTGAAGTCCTCTCTCGCAATTTAGTTCTTTAACTGAAAAACGGAACATTATATGCCGCTTGATTGTAAATAAAAACCTCAAGGATATTAGGACAGAGCACATAATACAAAAAGACTAGGCTCTGGAATAATAGAATCATAGAATTGCAGAGTTGGACGGGACCATGAAGGTCATCTTTTGCCCAACGTTGGGCTTGAACCCACAGCCCTAAGATTAAGAATCTCATGCTCTACTGACTGAGCTGTTGTTACTGTTGTGATCTTCTTCTCACATAGCACCCAGAGTGGCAAATAAGGAATTGGTGACTGTGACGTTAACATATGAGAGTGCTGGAGGTGAAATAGTTAAACAGGTTACCCAATCAGAACCCAAGGGGTGGAGTCAGAGGGACTATAAGACCAGCTCTAGGAGGGGCGAAAGGGAAGAGTTCGCTGGGAGTTGGGTGGTTGGTTGGAGCGGAAGTGAATTGGGATAGAGTCTGTGGGTAGGTTGAGTTAGTGTAGCAAAATAAGTTGAGTCAGGAACAGTTAGGCGCTGGGAAGACAAGTAAATATCTGAGAGGTGGTTTAGTGAGTGAGAGCAGGTAGCGGAAGTTATAGGTCTGGATAGGCACCCCATGATTGTAATTGACCGATACTGTTTATGAAACCACACGCTTGTTAAACTGCAATAAATAAACAGAAGTTTATGTTCCAATTTAAACCTGACTGGACTCAGTATTGTACCAGGTAGGGCCTGGGTGGTGGCAGTGAGAAATAAAGTGGTGGCACAGGGATCAACAGACGGTGAAACATCCGGGGACCCCGTGAGATCGCCACAGTGACCAAGAACTTGAGATGCTTGTTAGCTTGCTTGCTTGTTCAGAATAGGTAAAATGTGCTTCTAATTGTCTGATTCGTTGGCCTACGGCTATGCCACACTAAATGGACATGGTCATGTTTAGTTTCTGAAAGTTAAGACTTAGAGAATAATTCTTCTTTGGCGATCACTCGTAGCCGAGTAAGATTGTCTTCCATAAACACGGTTTTAACAATGAGTTTGTATTATTACAGACTACTTAGAGAATAACCAGGCAACAGTGACCCTGAGATATGATAACTGAACTGTTTAGGAAATCTTATTTGTTGTGAGCCTATGGTAAATTAGTGCTTCTAGATAATGGCCAGTGTTTTGCCATTCCAGAGCTCAGGGGTGTTGTTAGATTCCAACTCCTAGCAGTCCCAGCCAGCATGGCCTGTGGTCAAAGACTAGGAGAGATGATAGTCCCAATAGCATGAGGAGGGCCAGAGCACAGGTCTTCAATATGGCAACCATAAATATAAATGTAGCAAATAAGTATGGTGGAAATAAGTTCTATCAAAATCCCAGGACTCCGTTTCTACATTAGGGTTCAGGTGCAAATGAATACAGCATTCTGCTGAACATGCAGGTGTGATTGCAAGGGTGTGATCATAAAGCATCCACAAATGCACACACATGCATGCTGAAGAATGATTGCTCTGCTCTGTAGGTCTGACATAGTGCCCAGCTGGAAAAGATCCCAAATTGTTATTCCCACAACAGTGTGTTAGAGGGATGAAGAAAAGCAATCCTTCGATTGTGCTCAGTCTCTTAGTTGTTATGAAAAGATTTTCGGCAGTGACTGTTGGCTTTCTAAATAGTTGTGTGTGTGTTTATGTCTGCGTGTGTGCCACCTGGGAATGCTGATGATTTCATTATGTTCAAAGAATAAGATTTCCCCAAAGTCCAAATCACTGCTTAATACTGTGCCTTCTAGAACTTCAGCCCACATGCATTCCTAGAACAAGATTAAAAACCGGGCCCTACAGCTGCGTGGGGGCTGTGCAAAATATATACGTTACAGATTTAAGGTCACTTAAAGTAGACAGATGTAAGCTCCCCGTTCAGTTACCCATGGAGTTGATTTGTGGTAACATGAAATGCCATTTGGAAGTGTTTGCATCTTCATAAACATGTAAACAGTTTCTCAGGGCTCAAGCAGTATGGTTTTTAGGCAGAAATCTCAAAACAACCATCCTGGGCCTACCAAAAAATTCCAGGGGTAGTCAACCCTTGCAACTACCGTATTTTTCGCTCTATAAGATGCACCAGACCATAAGACGCACCTATGTTTTGGAGGAGGAACACAAGAAAAAAAATATTCTGAATCCCAGAAGCCAGAACAGCAAGAGGGATCTGGCTTCTGGGATAGCCTCTTGCTGTTCTGGCTTCTGGGATAGCCGCACGAAGCCTCTTCAGGGCAGCGGGATGAAGGCTCCCCCTGCCCGGAAGAGGCTGTGCATGGCTAAGCCAGAAGCAAGGACAGCAAGCGGGATCACTGCGCACCGATCCCTCTTGCTCTCCTGGCTTCAGCGAAAGTAACGCCAAGCCTCTTGAGCAAAGAGGCAGGAGCTCTCCCGCTGCGCTCAGGAGGCTTTGCATGGCTATCGCTGAAGCCAGGAGAGCAAGAGGGATCGGTGCACACCAATCCCTCTTGCTCTCCTGGCTTCAGCGATAGCTTCGCAGCCTGCATTCGCTCCATAAGACGCACATACATTTCCCCATACCTTTTAGGAGGGGAAGAGTGCATCTTATAGAGCAAAAAATATGGTAGTGTGCCACAAAAAAATGCAAGGCATGAGGGAAGGTATGCCGGTTTATGCTACCATACTTCTACAGTGCTGCAGAGGAAGCATACTAGACAACAGGCCTCATTCTGCGCTGTACCCAGCCGCACAAACTCCCTGCTCCTCTCCCAAGACTTCCACAGACCCTCACTGTTTGTACCACTTGTGAAAACCACGCTATAGCTTGGCCACCAGTGGAATGCCCGTTTTGTACTTCTGTACGAAAGAGCAACTTTCCAGAGGTCCTGAGACCAGCCCTGCAAGTTGCCATGTGTAACAAGGAGGAAGCTAATACTGGCTGATTTTTATGGTGCCTGAAAGCACCGTAACATTGCAGTCTTGTCTACTTTTTCCCAGAAGTAAGCCCTGCTGAACTCTGGAGGACTTGCTTCCAAGTAAACATGTGTAGGATGGAGCTGCATAATGTGAAGAGCCTTGGAAGGTCAGATGCTCAGATGCTTCTGGGAGGTTCATAAGCATGAAGGCAGAACCACCTCCATTTTTCGCAGCATCTGGAATGCAGAGGTTTAGAATGCAGAGGTCCCATTGTGCCGTTGTAGTTGTTGGTAGACCTTTAGGATAGCAGATCTCTGGATCATCCAGTCAACCTTACTCCAAAAGCATATTCAGAAGCCAGTGCAAAACCTTGTACTTGCCCCATGGAAATCACTACTTCTGTTTCTGCCATAACGTTATGACTAACCAACTGCCAGAGCAATATGAATAATCTTCAGGTTGTAGATCACCCACAGATGACATGAAAACCAGTGATACCACTGGAAATACTCCCATTTGCAGCAACATTAAGAAATACTTCCTAAAAAGTGGGTTCTTATAAAATCCAATCATGGGTTACAAAAGCATGCTTATGATTATGTTATAATTCTGTATCAGGCATTTTTTAATAGATTGGATCTCTGTTAAACCAAATAGCAACCATCTTTAGGCTCCTTTGGGAGAAATGGCGGGATATAAATTTAATTAAAATGAGGTGTTGTGGGTGAAACATAACAGTCCAGAGCAGAAGGTCCCATGAAACAGAGGCAAGTACCGTATTTTTTGCTCCATAAGACACACTTTTTTTCCTCCTAAAAAGTAAGGGGAAATGTTTGTGCATCTTATGGAGTGAATGCGTGGTCCCTGGAGCCAAATTGCCCAGGGGTGAAAAGCAGATCATGCTTTTTTTTTTTTTTTTTTTTTAGAAAGAGGGAAGGGGGTGTTGAAATAAAGCCGCTTAGCAGCTGATCAGCAAGCGATCGGGAGATAAGGGACTCTAGCGATAAAGGAGGCTGCCACAGCATAAACCACAAAAATCAAACATCCACTGTTTCGTTCAGAATATTTTTTATTCTTGTTTTCCTCCTCTAAAACCACACCGTCTTATGGTCAGGTGTGTCTTATGGAGCGAAAAATATGGTAATTCAAGGCCCCTTAATTGCAGGGAGACAAGGAGCTCTGGTTGTACATCCTGGTAAGAAGTGAGACAATCTAGGCTCCAATTGCCACCCTTGCTGGTCACCACGGCGCTTTATCTCTTACCCCTACTACAACATCTTTTTTCTATCTTGGGTTTTGCAATATTGCCTTGAGCATGTTTTCTTCAAGTGATTTGCTCTAAAAACGTTAACTGTTTTCTGTGTCCAGCATTTCAAACAGAGAAAAAGTTGAGAGGTATTAGCACTACAAAAAGTTGCGGTCTGTCTGGCCAGAGACCATAGCAGGACCGGAAAAATATGATATCTCCTTCATACCCCCTCCAGCACTCAGGGCAGGACTCTTGTCTTTTGCAAGTCATTATGATGCTTTGGCCTTTGTGTGTTGAATGGGACAAATATTTGTGTAATGACGAACAAGGGGAAATAACTTTCGATCAAGGAATTTTTAGGTTTTTTTAGACAGCAGCTTCCTCGGGAAGGAAGGTGCTGCAATTGGAGAGATGTCAGTGTTTTTTTTAAGCGAGAACAATTATTTCAGCATGGGTAGCTTTCAAGATAATCCCACAATAAGTAGAAATGGTCAGTCTTTTTCAACAGGAAACTCTCTGGATGTAGTTTGCTTGCATCCAAGCTGTAACCAAAGGGCTGTGGCCAAAGAAACACGCTTGCAACTCTGTACCTGAGCAAACAGCCAGCTTGGCAGTTCTCCCTTAAGAATGGACTATGGACCCTTGGGTAGTAGAAAAAGGCTGTATAAACTTTGCATTGTTACCTAAGGGACATGTTTCACCTGCTTTAGAAGGCATACCTATGCAAGCAGTAGAGGAAGCTGGTTCTTAGCATTTTGTTTTCTGAGTTCCCTGTTTTCCTTTCCGGTTCCGTACTAAAACTTACGTTTCTATATCACTTGTCACTCGCGTGGATTAGAACGTTAATCCCTTTCTAGAATTGCCAAGATAATGGTGCTCCTTAAGACTATAGAAAAATTAGGTATGCGCTGAAAGAACTGGAACAGCAAGTGCTTAACTACACCGGAAATATAAAATGGTAATACGTGCTTATTTCTTCTTACCACCAAATTAACAAAATCCTCAGCTCCTTACAAAACTTCAGTTCCCAGGATTCTGAGTTGGAAGCCAGATCAGTTAAATTGGTACCATGCTCCCATAGATTTGTAGTGCA